TAAACTGGTTATTTTTAAATGCTTCACACAACCAAAACCTCAAATATGCTATTTTATTTCAACCCAATGAAGAAATCTTGTCACAGCAACAAAAATCCCTAATTCAGCAATGGTCACGTGACTGATGACGTCATCACCCTAGATGTGACTTGGGAAGATGTTTTCTGGCAAATTTTATCTTGTTGTGGTCTAACATTGTAAAATTGTCAAAGTTATAAAGCTTTCCAAAAAAAATTGCCTCAAAGGATTCTGGGATAAGTTTTATGATAATTATAATTTACTTTTATAACTATTATTATTATTATCATCACCATTATTACTATTATTATTATCATTTTTATTAAATTAAAACTTACTTTTATTACAATTATCACTTTTAACAATTTTGGGATATATTTTGAGTCCCAAGAGACTCACTGTACTGGACATACAATAATGACCTCCGTTTTAATCAGCTTTAGACTGCTCTACTGGCTGGAATGAATTTGAAGGCTCCTGCTACAAGGTTATAGATAAGTTCGGTTATTCGCGGAGATTTATCTGGTCAACAGCTTTAAGCGTGTGCTTTGGGTTTGGAGGAGACCTTGTCAGCATATCGGATGAAAAAGAGTTGGATTTTGTTTACAAACTGTCTTTCAAGGACACAAGCGATCCCGTTTGGATTGGATTGGCCTATTGGTTTCAGAAGAGTACATATTTTTGGAGCAATGGGACATCATTTAACAATTCTGTTTCGCAGAGTTGGTTCGGCAGCATTCCAAGTAATGTATCTGAAAATAAGTGCGTCGAAATCTCGAGAAATGGTTCGAACATCACTGACTGTTGCAAGAAAAATCCACGTTTCATCTGCGAGAGAGCCAAAGGTGAGTTGTCCCCATGGGGAACTCTGCTTAAAAATGACGGGATGCTCGTCGTACCCTGAGTCGGTAAAATTTGTGATCACTTAAGGGTCGGTAAGGGTACTCAGCATGAAAATGAAGAGAGCTATTCATTGATAAAAAAAATTGGCTTTTAATTGCTATTGAAAATTGTCACCACCAGTTATTATATTTTTTTCTAAAATTTGTGCGTTTTAAGTGTACAAATGCATTTAAACCATACTCACAATACGAGATTTTGGAACCTTTCAAGGGTTGAAATTTTTCATTATTCTTAAAGGGGTCAGCAGCCCCGACGAAGTTGTTTCAGTGACTTAAGGAGGCAGGATTAGATTTGATAAAAATTTGGCTAAATATATTGCATCCTTTGCTTTCTTTCCTTTTTACTACACTGTCCAATGATTTGTCTGTGGATTATGGGTCATCCAGGTGAGGGAATTCCTGCAAATGACTGTCGAAAAATCAAATTGAAAAGCAACACTTAGGTTTAAAGTCCTCACAGCCAATAACTTCAAGGCTTTATTGAAAAATCAGGTCAACCATCAACTGACAATACACAAAGGTAACAACCCTATCCAAGACTACACCCTGGGGGAGGTACTTTAAGAATATTTATGGAGGGGTGTGCCCATGGAAACCCGGAGCACTTTACCTATACCAGACCTAGTTCAACTGAGTTTTGCTACCCTATACAAGACTTAACTCCCGAAACCCCTCCCTATCCTAGAGTCACTAATTTTCCAGGATTAACTTAGTTCGACACTTTCTTTGCTATTAAACTGAGTTTCGGGTAAATTTAGTTTTTCCGATTAATTGTTTCAATTTCCGGTTTCCCTTGTCTAGATTAAAATCTTTATACAATTGGTCAGATTCGTGGAAAATGATAGTATTACTATATTCCAGAGCCAAACCCTCTGATTTGTAATAACTACCCTATTGCAGACTAAATTGCACGGTGGTACATAGCTGTATAACCCATATATGACAGTACCCCTCCCCCCCCGGGGGGGTACTACTGTAACACATGACATGACATTTGGGTTCAAATCAGCTACTCTTTATCTGTCCTATGAATTAGGTCCATTGGCCTGTTCTGCTGATGGGTTTCTTAATGGGTTGTCTTGCTACAAGGAAAACAATAAAGATACCTGGACAGGTGCAAAACAAGAATGTATTGATTCCGGAGGTGATTTGGTAAAAATATATGATGATGATGATGAGAACAACCGATTTTTGAGTCACTTCGTGAAAATTACCGGTCTAAAGGAAGCCGAAATTGATGTAAGTACGTCAGTCATTCTAATGCAGACCATGTCTAGAAGGCCATCTCTTTTATTTACGGCTGTCGCCGTAATTGAATACAGGGAAGTAGGTTAAAAATGTTTATGAATTAACCTCTTTAAATTGAACGCCTTATATAGCTATCTATATGTTACATATAGTCATCTCCTTATATTTATCAGCTGAGACTGATTTTGCTCATTGACTTGAGTGATGTTTTCGGTGATTTATGATGTCCAAAATTAGCAACTTCATGCCTCAAAGAAACGATTCATTCGGTTTGTTCGTCAGTGATATTCAGGGAACTGTTATCTGATTAGTGCTGCGCCAGTAGTTCAAAATATTGCTATGTTCATGCTATTGAAACCCGACATTTAACGGTATACATATTTGTTCCCGTTTTGCCCCGTCGAACGCCATTTCAAAACGTGAGCATTGCTGAGGGAGTGTATTAAAGCAGTGGATTCCCCCCGAACAAAGAGAAAACGTTTTTAATTGTGTACAATGTCTCAACCAAGTTTGTACACGGGCACCGGCACCGTGCCCAAATTCTGGTGCGGGTCATTGAAAAAAGCGTATGTTCACATTTGTGCCCAAATGCAACGAACTGAGCTAAGGCACCTCTCCGGATAACAAGTGTGGTCGCTGCATCATATTGGTAGTCTCGTTAAAGGAGGGAAGGCGGAAAACTGCCGAAAAGAAAATTTTTGCTGGACAATATCCGCTTTGTTGTAGCTTTAATAGTAAACAACCTTCATTTTACTAAAATAAAATTGCTTATGTTTTCAATATCTTTTTGAAGTACATATGGATTGGCCAAACCAATGATTCCAAATGTACGCAAATGAACACGGACACAGGAAAGATGGAGGAGGGGGACTGTATAAACGACCAAAGGAACTATATCTGTGAAATACCAGCATCAACGTTTACAACAAGTATATTTTATATCATACTCTTTCATATAAAGGTTAAAGTAAAGTATTATGCAGAGGACTCACTAAGCATGAGAAGTAACAACTCACTCAAGCCAAAGCCATGCTGTGCACGTGATAAAGTGGGATAAAATAGCTATATAAATAAAGATAAGTTAGAATACCAACAAAACCAAACTGGTACATTTTCGTCTGCCTGGTTATTAGAGATATAATAATATACATTGTCCCTGACTCTTTCCGACAAAAACATTTTAATTTTGACTGCCACCAAACTTTGAACTGCGTGACCTTCAGCTCTCAGACATTCCGTTTCTCAGTTAAATACCCAAGTTGCGATTCGTACCGTAAATTTACATTTTTATTTTGTATTTCTTATATTAGGTTATGTTTGTTATCTCGGTACCCAAGCAACAATTCATATGTTCCCACGCACCACAACCAACAGTTAATTCTCAGATTAAACCTTTGTTTAAAGTACGGCAACAAAGAGGAGGAAGGCGGAAGTCATAGCTCTAAATGTAATAAGAGCTCCGCCTTTAGGCTTACCTGACAGCATATTTTCCCGCTTTTGCCTCAGACTTTGAGCTAACAAACCTTGTGAGATACTCAACGGCTTCAAAAACGATTTTATTCTGCATTTATCTTTAGGCACCGTTTGTTATCTGTACCCAAGCAAAAATTCTTCAGTTCCCATCAGAGTGAACTGTTCATTCCCAGAAAACCTTTGTTTTAACTATGGCGACAATACAGTAAAAAGCGAACAAGTCACCATTCAAGGCTGTATATCTGCTGATCAATGCCGACAATTTGATGACCAACATTTGCACTGTTGTAAGGGAGATCTGTGTAACGGTATACGTTGTAAGTGTACTTTTTATACATTAAGAAACGCTAAAATTTGCTTTGAAATAGACAAGTCGTACAGTGTTCTTCAAAAACAGGGAGAATTTTGACTATTACAAAGCTCGATAAACTGAGATCTATGAGGGATCCATAAAGCCAGGGGAGCAGATACATTTTTTCTTACAGGTTAATATACGTTTGCGGACTCAAATGAGTAGGCACTCTTAACCTTCGGGTAAATTTTCAAATAATTTTCCCCATATTTTGACCAAAATTCATCCAAATTATTTTTTGCGCATTCCAAGACTTTGGCCGATCGGAGGAAGGTTTACTTCTATTGGTATATTTAAGTGTCGGTGGATCAAGATTTTTGGTGGGCTAAAGATACCGCGGGCTAGTTTTGGTTATGATGTGCCCCGAGTTGTCCATTGTTTTAATTTATGTGTTAATTAAATAATGTTCACCATAAGCCGGGCCACGCACCAAATTCAACAACGTTGTTTCACACAATATAATGTTGAATTTAGATACTTTGTATGTATTATGATCCTTCTCAATATGACTGAATCATGTGGAGACCAGAGAGTGTACGAGCTCAGTTAGCTGGTAATGGACGATTCCCACAAGTGACGAAGCTACCCGAGGGGCGGGGAGGGGGGGGGCTAATCCTGGGAATTCTTGGTAGGGCGGTGCTGCCCGGTTCTCCAAATCCTGGCCCTATTTCAGACCTTTAAGTATCATTTTCCACTGGACCTCTATGATCCATACCCAATTTCAGACCTAGCCTTAATAGGCAGAAATTATGTCATGATGACTTAGATTAGAGAGCAAACAAAAAATTTCTTCAAATGCATTTCGAATTCGCACATTTCTATCTCGTTCTTATTCATTTGGAATTGAAACGATAAATACGTTCATATGCTCCCGTAGTTCCCTCGAAAACCATACCCGATTCCAGACCAAAATGGGCAAAGTCTATACCCGTTTTCAGACCAAAAGGGGCCCAAAACCATACCCTTTGGGGCGGTACATACCTATGGCCCTCCCGGGCGAAGCTACAAGAGAGTCCTACTACGTTAAGTTCACAAAATGTCTGGAAAAACCTCTTCGGTCAATAGTAACCCTAAATTACCCTGGTGAAACCTTTCCTCTTCCATTTATTTTCCAGGGCGTTTGATATATTCATTTGATTTGCAGTAATAGAAGCAACGAAATCTTCACCGCAAAAGGCGACCACCATTGATAAGATTATTTACCTCTCACTCGGTGTCACCTTCGCTATTTTGCTATTGCTCATCGCTGTTTTCGTCTGGTGCTACAGGAGAATGAAGAAAAAGACTATTGAAAGGTTTGTGCAGCTCTGCTTACTACACTGTACAGTGTCAGTACGTCATATTATCAAAATTTGAAGGCATAAGACAAACGCAAAAGCTCTCCGAAAGCCATTGTCTAATTTTATATCACCTGGCAACAAATACAATGTCGTGCACCTGTCAAGATGACAGTTACCAAGAAGTCAATATCATAACTCAATTTGCAATTTTTATGGAAATGATCAAAGAACTGAGGTTTTTTTGTCGTGTGATGGAATAATTAAAATGATGAATTATTTTCTCTAGAAGATTTTTTACAATCATTTATCTTTTGCAGGGAGAAGCTCTCTGCTAGTGCTCTTTAAACTTTGAAGCCTTCACTTTCACCCATCTGTCAATTTCACAGATAACTGTTTTTAATCTTAGGCCATGTCCCCCGATGCACGTGCACCAACTGCCAGTAAGAGTTTATGAATTAACACATCTGTCCAAGATCAGGATTCTTACATGAAAATAACATCAGGACTATCATGACCATCCCGACCACATTATCAATTAGTTATGGTAACATTATTTCATAGCGGATTCTTGGTGATCATGGCTGTAGGAATGACTCTTCGATTTGGAAAGGCTGTATAAGAAACACTTTATTATTACTTATACTTATTACTAAATTACTTTGAATTGTGACATAATCCGGCTTTTCTCATTTTTTCCTTCTAGATCACTTTATTCACAATTCGAGATCATTCCTCTTGACAAGTGGGAAATTTTGCCCGAGCAAATAAATTACGAGGAAGAGCTGGGGCGAGGAGCGTTTGGCGTGGTTTACAAAGCAACCTATACAAAAAGAATTGGGATGGAGGTGTTTGACACTAAGATTTCAGAGCGGACTTTATTATCGACTAAGACAGCACCTCAGGTGGTTGCTGTCAAAGTTCTGCATGGTGAGAAGTAGTGCTCATGATTACTGACAGACAAAGCTATGATTTTGTGGTGTATTTTAGTCCCCCTTATCAAGGTGCACCACTCTAAAGCTTCTCAATATTATTTAAAGTTGGGATGTTCATTCGTAAGAGAATGTTATGTCTTTAAGACCACAAATTTGGAGCTGCATTTCTGCTTCCGGTCATCGTAAACGTCAGGGTTCGATTCCCGGTCAAACTTGGATTTTTTAAGTTTACTATCCTTTTTATTGCAAATAAGCAGATCATCGTCCGTAAGTAATTATCTGTAGTGACATATTTGCCTATAGAACAATCAAAACTTTGGAAGAATAATTTAATTTGAATGCATATCATGATAGAAGAGGATCTGACCGACCCATAAGTCAATGCCACTTTATCTGTTTTCTAGACGTTACACTGTTGAATATATCTGTTCTCTTTAATTGTGCATCAGAAGCTAGAATGGGTTCCAGAAAACAATGGGTGAAAATAACTTTGATAGCAAAAAAAGTAAACAAAAAATGCAGTCACAAAGAACAAAAATAAGTGACTTCACGCCATTGTATTTGACCACCTCTAGATGATCCATCTGACGCGCAGAAAGAAGAGTTGACGCTTGAAATCGAGCAAATGAAGCTGTTGGGCTCACACACGAATATTGTATCCTTGGTTGGATGCCACACGCTTAAGGATCAAAACTTTTTGGTCATAGAATACGTTCCGTCTGGTGACCTCCTGACGTGGCTACGCCGTAAAAGAAACGAGGTAACGGAGGGAAGAAAACTCTAGAAATTAATTATATCGTAAAAGAATTTCGGGAAATCAATTTATTTCCAAAAAAATTTAAATGTATCCAAAAAAGATTTTCAACGGCCACCTGCCGGAGGGTGGGCCTAAATTGGGCCTTTTGTTCCGACAAAAACAAATTCTTTTTAAGATATCTTGGCCATGTAGGAAATCCTTTATTGATCAAAGACGGATGGATGTCGGCCTTCGTTGCAGTGTACAAAAAAACTTGGCTAATATTCAGCAATCTTACGTTTCATTTATCTTACCAGCGTGGTCAATAAATAACACTTTAACGCAGAGTGAGGTCATTAAAGGGAAATCTCAGATTGAGGCCTTGATGTATTGACCTAGCGATAGCGAGGTCAATACATTAAGACCGAGGTCTGAGATTTCCCTGTGACCGAACAGACGAGGGTAATAAGTTATTTATTATATGGCCTTTTCATTATGGACCTGAGCCGGCGATCAATTAAAATCAACAACTGGTCAGCGGATAACTTTAAAACATGTCACCTCAATGAGTTCTACACTTGAGCCCGCGATGAAGCCAGGTGACATTGGTCAGCGGATACCCTTTTTGACAGCTGTCAATTGACCATAACCAGGAGGGAGTCATAAATTTAGGCCTGGGCACTAGAGCAGATATTGGCGAATGAAAATCCGATGTGTCTGGCCATCGTGACGTCACGTTCAAGCCTGCTTGGGAAGGTTTGAAAGAAGGTAAACAAAATGTTTGTCGTGAAAAGTTCACGGGCCAATTTCTCAGTAACAGTAGAGCAATCATTTCAGCAACTAAAGCGAAGCTGCAAATGTTATCATATAAAGTATCAATAACGCAATTTTAGCCTGAAAGCAAAAAACAGACTGGCGACAAGACTCAAAAGTGTTGACAAACGCTCCTACCGATCACCACACCCCGGGCCAGCTGTCATCAAAAAGGGATCTCTTTCAAACTAGTTTTTTTAATTTTTAATCGTTTGAGCTGAGACTTTGCACGATAATAGAACTTTGCATTCCCAACAATCGTATGTTTTTGGATTTTTTATTTTAACGGTTTTTGGCGCGAAAATGACGTGATAAGATTGACAGCAAAAAGTAGTTTTCGACTTATGGCGTAAAAAAACTGGAACTTTTAAAAGAACTTACAGAGATGAGCTCAAATGTGAAAAAAGTATTTGTAAAGCTTAATTGGTTGAAAAGTTATTGAGTTGTGAATTTCGTATTTTCCGCCATTTTGTTACTATTTTTTTTTTAGAATGTCATATCTTCTTAACCAAATGAGGTTTTCAAAAATGTTTTTCACATTCAAGTTCTTCTCTGAGCACTATTTCAAAATTGCTAACCTGTTATGGCATTAGTTGAAACTTATATTTTGCTGTCAATCTTATGACGTCACTTTCGCGCTAAAAACCGTTAAAATCAAAAATACAAAAATATACGATTGTTGGGAATTCGAGGATATCTTTTTATGTCAATGCTTGGACTTAAGGGGGGCTTGAATACAGTTTAAGTCTACAAAATTGCCTAAGAAATATGTTACACACATATTACGTTTATAGCCAGTTGGACTGACGCAATATTCTACAGGAGCCTTCCACTGAAAACAATACCTTCAAGTAAAAATCAGAATCAAAACAATGGCTTAATTTATAAATAGGTGGAAAATATCTCAGAATTAAAACGGAACGCTAAGGCTAGTGACTTAGGCGATTTGAACATTTTTACTTCGAACCTGGACAGCGACATTGAAGGTAATTTGATAACGGCTTACGACTTGAAGGGAGAGTTCTTGAAGGTAGCAGATCGCTTCTCAATGAAAGGACAAATATTCTGTCAAGGTTCAGCTTTACCGTTCAATCTTCCCCGGGCCCTCAAAAAAGGTCATAGGGACGCCTTTTAAATTGGTCAATAAACGCTCGAAAATTCTGGAGTAACCTTTTCCACGGGGGTCCGCATATTTCAACTATCAGTGCAGATTCAAACATTTCACCTATACTACACTGCACATGCTTCGATTGCAGAAGATATTCGGCGGTAAGTTTTAAATATAATAATTGCTCCATTTGCTCTTCAGAGGTAAGTATAGGGAGTATATCTACCTCACTTGAAATTATGCTTCTAGAGCTGATACCCAAGTATCCTAGCAAGAAGATACTTATAGTGTAAATCTTTTATTAACACTTTTTTTTTTACTTTCCATGGAACTATGCAAGATAATCTTACTAAATAAAAGAAAAAGTCAGGAAAAATGTCTAGACAGGACATATTACTGAAAACAGTACAAGAAGCACTAGGCAAGGAGAAAAATAATCAATCTAAACAAAACATTTTGGGTTGTAGTTTCTTTTTACTAAAAAACACGATTGGAAATCTGTCTGAATTCTCAGGCTAAAGATTCTAGTGATGAATTGATTCGAAAGCTATGCTGTTTAAAACACATTATTCATTATTTTTCTTCTAAAATCCTGTCTGTGAGCAGTTACACGAAAATAATTTCTTGGTATAAATCCTTATCACATTGTCAATAACCAAAAAAAGAACAAGTAGATGATAAGTAACGTTATGTTCTGGAATGACCATAGATGTTTTGATCAAACGATGATGTAGCAGAGGCCAAGAGAATAAGTAATAATGAGAGGCCTGCCAGTCTACTCTCCAATTCTGTTTACATGTAAGACATGTAAGCCTGGAAACGTCATTGGTCTAAGTAGTGTTAATCCTGTAGAAAAAACAGAAAATGATTAGCATTACTATTACACCTCTCTAGTCCATACCACCATAGTTAGTGGTAACTATGATACTACTACTACTGAAAACCTGTTTAAGATTTATATACTGTTTTACATAGTTAGATAGGCCGATTGGTTACTCTTGGTGACAAAGTAAGCGAGTAAAGGATGCAGTGTTTACATGCATCAGTCAATTGAAACCCTTCTCTAGACCCCTCCCCCCCCCGAACCTCTGGGGCATAGCGACGATTTAAAGCAGTCAATGCCAAGATTTAACACATATTTAACAACGTGCTGGCCCTGGGTGCAGTGGAATTAACAAAATTCCTGCTTGACCCAGCTCATGCACAGCGATTTAACAGCACATAATTGATACATTTTTGGAAGTAGGGACAGAGAGAGGGATTTAACATGAGTGACTTGTGAGAAATCCTTGTTTCCTCCATAGGTATGTTCCACTCTGAAGGGTATGGCCGTTTTCAAGCAGTTTACTCTGGGATAGGGTATAAAGAGAGTCTGGGTTCCAGGAAACTGATCAATTGGTTGAAGATTTTAGTCTAGACTAGGCAAACCGGGAATTGTCACTCAAAGTTAGAATCAAAAGCAAGGAGTTGCCGTCACTCAACAAAAGAAAACCCAGAATGAAGTTGATCGTCAGGACTGGACAATTAGCAAAGAAACCAAGTGGCCACTCCTAAGACAAATGTAAAAGCACACTGCAAAACAAAAGTAAACCTTGGGACAGATGGAAGCACTGTTAACAATTACAACGTCCAGCTAGGGGATGATATTTCTCATGAATTTGATGGAACGCAGTTGAGAGTTTCTATCAACAGGTCCATTGGTTTGAAAATAAAGTTAATAAATACCGAGCACCTGACAGAAGAGAGCAGTTTAAATCAAGCCAAGAACTACAACTACTAATTCCCTGCCACAAGCTAAGGTGCTTTAACAAACTACTTGGCCCGGGAAGTGCAAACATTAGTGGTGTTTTAACACCAGGCTTTTGTTAAATTCCCCACTAAGTCTCAGGAATCAGGGAGACGGGGTTTCAATTGACTGATGCATTATACTACCAGATGTTGAGAGGGTATTGAAAGTAAAATACAGTGTACATACATACATGTACCCCCCACCACCACCACCACCCCCGGGACTTTCCTAACAAATTACTTAACTTTCAGAAACATTGAATTTTTCTTATTGACTAGTGGAGGAGGATGTTGCATGATTGTCACAGGCTAACATGAAGCAGCTTTCCTTCTCAAAACAGTAAAACGCATGCTCTATTTAGGCTATGTTTTTTACGTTACGTTCTGATTTATAATCTAGAAGTATCTTTTAATTTTCACTTGACATTTCTACAACTAAATGTGGTTAAAATGTTCACTGTGCAGTAAAAACTGTTTTTTACCTTACTCTCGGCTATTTTCTTCGAACTCCCGATAACTCGAACCTTTTTTTCCATTTCCCTTGAAGGTTCGAGTTATCGGAAGTCGACTGTACACTGATCATTTTTGTGGTTCATTCCTTGACATTTATTATATGCTATATGGATTCTGTGAGATATAAACTACTTTGGAGCGAAGCTACAAGTTTTTTCATGCTTTTTATCAAGAGAAAAACGAGTTTTTGTCGAGCGAAATGCCGCACCACACTCACGTGATTTTCTTAACTTGGAGACTCACCAAAACGCCTTAGAAACCTTTTTTGCTGAATTTTCACGTAGCAATCAAAATACACTTACCTTTTCCGTTGGAATATAAGGTACTGGTATCCTCGATCAAAAGAAAAACCACATTGCTGCTTCATTCGCGGGAAAAAAATAAGTTCAAAGTGTTCACATGAAAAACAATAACACCGCCACTTTCGAAAAATCTGCTCGTCGCAAGCTTCACGTTGCTGTGACGTCACGATGGCCAGACACATCGGACAGCCGCGCTCACGAGTTTATGACTCCCTCCTGACCATAACGTAGCCGATGTCCATAAGGATGTCCACTATCAAGTTAAACACACATTGTATATGCTTCGGACACCTCATCAGTAGCTTATAATGCCTGAGCCCGGTTGCATAAAACGTCCGTAACAACTACGGGCATACGTACGTGCACTCGTAACGTAAGTGAGTTGCATTAAATCACCTTAGCGGTCCACTTAAGGAATTCACTTAAGTGGTTGCACTTACGATTTTCTTAAGTGTTCAATTAAGTGTCTTTTATGCAACAGAAATTGCGGGAAAAATAGCACGTAAATTTACGGGACCTATGTGGGTCCCGTATCGCTACTGTTTTTATTAAAGTTAACGAGATCTTTTACTGAGAAGTAAAAAAAAAGTAATTTTTCTTCACGTAGTTCGTTCTAATCGCTTTGTTAACCTCTGATGTACACTTTAAAGCCGACGTTGTGAAAAAAGAAGAAGAATTATCATTTTCAGTAGGCATTGAAGAAAAATAACGATTGCATGCAAATTTCATTTTTTTGAGGGGCTTAAAAGTGTTCGAAACGACTTAAAACTTTCTTTACACTCACCGATGGTTAGCTTAAAAAAAAAGAAAAGCCCGTAACCACGTAAAACAGTAACTTACGAGAGTGCTAAGTGCGTTCCATGCAACACCCGCAAGTGTACCCATGACGGATTGGTAAGTGACCTACTTAAGTGGGCTCTTAAGTGTTGGTTTTATGCAACCGGGCCCTAGTCATTACAAGAAAACAGCCAATCAGAGCACACGTACTATTGTAGCCATATAATATATGCTGTCATACGGTCAGTTTACTTGTGCTTGGAAAGTTTTACCTACACCGTAATTTTTAGGGAGTTATTATAACTCCAAAAATGGAGTAAAAATTTTAGGTACAGGATAACCCCTTTTTTGGGGTTATTTTAACTCCTAATTTAACTCCGAATTTGGGGTCATTTTTACTCCTGAAAAAGAGTTCTTTTTACTACCAGTCTTGGAGTTAAAATTACTCCGAAATGGGGTTACTTGTACTCCTTACAGGGGTTGTTTTTACTCTTTTTGGAGTTAATTTAACTCTGAAAGTGGAGTAAAAATTTTAGGTACAGGATAACTCCTTTTTTGGGGTTATTTTAACTCCTCAATATCTGGGGTCACTTTTACTCCTGAAAAAGAGTTCTTTAAACTCCTTTTTGGAGTTAAAATAACTCCACGAAAAATAACTCCACTGTCAGGAGTTAAATTAGCCCCACTAGAGGAGTTATTATAACTCCCTGAAAATTACAGTGTATAGCGCAATAATCAGGTATGGAGACCACAACTGTCAGTGTTGATCTTTTCCATAGGAATGCTTGCGGACTAACCTGTAAATTGGCCACTGCTGAAGATTTTCGCATTTCAACAATAAGCTAAGACTGTGATCGTATTTGATCATGATTTATGTGTACTTGTAATTTTGCCGTAAACAGCAGACTTTTATAAATATATGACAGAATAGTTTTTTCATTATAAATTGGTAGATTTCTTTGTGGTGGCTTAAAGTTGATTGTTTTAATAAATTGAAAGTATATAACACGGAAGCTTCGCTTTTAGGCTTGGCTAAATCTGCTATATATTACTTAATGCAACGTACTAACACGCAAGTATTTTGAATTTTTTTCAATTTTCTCTTTTTTTCGTTTCTTGCTGGATATCTAGTTAAACAAGCATCGAGCCTCTGATAGAGCATATGACGACAAAGAGTTTCTGAAAGATCAGGGAGAAACCAGGGATCAAGTAGGATTGGTTCTAAATTCTTTTCGATAGTTTCTGCGTATTACTTTTAACTATTTTCCAGACTGTTCGTCCAGTTGTTTTGTTTACCTACCCACTCATCTAATGATAGAACTAGACAGAAAAAAAAAAAGATTCTCTTTATGCTTCATGTTCCTTTAGATAGTATTATTGAGTCGGTTATTGCTGTTGGTGGAGTCTTGCTTTGGGTGAGCTCTGTCTGCTGGGATACCCAATAATGACAATTCCAGTTTGAGATAAATTTGGCCACAAGAGTGGCCGTTTATTTCATTTAAGCATATCAAGCTAGGAAAGTCCAGACACACAAGAAGATTTATCCCAGCAAAGGTGAGGGCACACCCGCCATCCGGATGATGATATTGGAGCAAAACGGGAGGGAAGGGAGGGAAAAATGTTTTCCAACTTTCTTGTTGCAGTGAGCAGAGAGGCCTTGTGCCTCGCTTTCATGTCATAAAAACACAATATATAATGTCCCGGATGGCAGGAACGCCCCCTCCCCAATAACGGGAGAAATGAAACATTAATCAGTCACTTTAAGCATAAAACCATTTATTTCTTTCAGAAATAAATTTCCTTTTTCCCCCTTCTTCTCACACAGGAAAGCACTCTAGCTAAGGTTCAGACAAAGGAAGCGGAGAAACCACAATCGAACATGGAAATGACTCAAGAACCACAAGATGACAATGAGGACACACATGACAAAGCATCGACTTCTCGTCATCTTCATGATGTAAGAAAGTAACCAATAATTTTTAAAATTCAGTTAATTCGTTTCTACTCGGTATAAAAGAATAGATTAGTACATAACGTTTTTATGAACTCGAATGAATGTGCCTGCTTGTCGCTTATGAAAGAATTTCCCGCGCACTATGTAAACTTGACCGAGGCCCGGTCCACACAAATCCGGATATTTTTGAAAACCCAGTTTTTTTCACGCGAATTATAGTCATCCGTCTTCGGGCCTTGCTTTTCCGATCAGTTTTTTATAACTGTTTGAAGCGTCTTCAAAAATGTCCCACGTAGCCTCACCGTGAGAGAGCGTTTGTGCCTCCCTACGATACTGTGCTTACATTTCTCCTGCAGCGTTAGAATATTGGAATCATTTTACCAAAGCGCAGGTGGTCTTATCACCCGCATACGATGTATGGGTACATGTCCCTCTAAAGAGTCCGAAATAAGATTAAACCTTGTGTCTCGGGGGGAAATGGTTGCCACGTTAAATTCATAATACAATTTTAGCTATTCTCATATGACTAAGCCTCGCTTTGATATAGTGAACTTAGGTCTCCGCAACTCATTTTTTAAGTAATAGCGTCTATTCCTTACATTTTTATTAGTAATAGTTCCTTGCTAAGTAACCTGACAATAAACTGCAGTGTTTTGCAGATGGTTGGTTTGATCAAGATGCTATACAAATTGCACTGTTTAATTCAATCGCTGCATGTTTACCACTTTATTTAGGAAGAGAAATTCAAAGTAACTGACAGGGAACTGCTAAGTAGTCCACAAGCATCAACAGGAACTGAAAGTCAAGATGCCGCAATGTCGCTTTCAATCCAAAACCCAGACGAAGGTCTTACTGAAGACGATAACTTTTCTACCCAACAACTGTTCTCGTTTGCTTGGCAAATAGCTAAAGGAATGGTAATTACTATTCTACACTGGATAACGTTACGTTGATTCTGGTTTCGACTAATACTTGGGACATGGTAGGAAATGCATAGACTAGGAACATTAAGCCAATCCACCTGCCTAGCCGAGCTCTCAGTTCTTAAGTCCCATTAAGAGGAGAAAAAAGAAACCAAAAGAGATCAGTGGAAAAAAGATAAAGATGAAGCTCAGTTTTCTCCAAATAAAGGGCTGCCTGAATGAAAAGATTTTCTCGTAACGGTAATAGATCATAGTTTTGGCTAAATTCGGATTTCGTTACGCGTTCGAGCGAACTGGAATGGTTTATTCAATACATTTATGACATACAATCATTCACTCCACATAGAGCGTTTTCACTCACGTGGCCAGCATCTATGCAAATTTATGAGAACAAAAGAATTTTTTTACATAAGAAAAGGGTTCAACTCCCACAGGATTGGTTTGGAACACCAACATGGCCACCGTGACGTCATGTGAAAACGTCAACCTCAGCTATATACTGAATACCACTGGTACCCCGTTATTGTAATACGTCGACAATTAATTCCATTTCTTTTATCGCCTTTTTGTTAGAATCATCTCGCCGAAAACAATCTTGTTCACAGAGATCTTGCTGCCCGTAATGTACTGGTCGGCCATGGCAACCAGGTCAAAGTGTCAGACTTTGGGTTGATGAGACAGATATATGAAGATGTGTACAGCTCAAGGAAGTCTAAAAAACTTCCTGTGAAGTGGATGGCCCCAGAAGCACTTTATCAAGGCGTTTACACCACCAAAAGTGATGTGTGAGTTCACTGTTCCAAGTCCTTGTAAGAACTCGTTCGTAACTAAAACACTGACTTTTCCCTGCAGTAAACTATCTCTTGTAAAAGCCAAAGCTGCCAAAAATACCAAAGGTGGCTGTATTTAGTACATGCACTTAGACAAAAACTAGTCACTGAATTTATTATTCTAAGCGCGCAGTTTGCTAGGTGAAAGCGAACTGATTTAGCTTTTGAAGGAAAACTGGTTAACTTTAAGATTTTTTGGGAGGAAAATGACTTTCAACCTGAATTCGGGAAACCGCTTCTCACGAGACTGCCTCTAAATGATTGGAGCACCTCAAGAAAAGTGTTTACAAAGCAAAGGACATTGCTTTCTGGTGGAACTATCTACGCTACAGCGTTCTGTGCGGCGGTACAGAATCAATTCCGTGATTTGCATTTAACGCATTAAGAACATTTTCAACATGATATTTTCGATGACAAATAGTTTTTTTTCCTTATTATATACCTATTTTCATAAAAATTCACAAACTCGTTCGCAACTCTATTTCCATAAACAGTGCCACAATTTTTACAAAGAATGTGTCTATCATCAGTCAGATCCGGATTTTCACAACAATCATATAACACACTAGTTTTATCACAAAATGGGCAAATACAATATTCCTTCTTTAGTCCTTTACGAATTGCTAAATTACAGCTCATTCTATATACATTTATGTACTGCGAGAATGGTTAATTGAGTTAGAAAAACGTGGGGCTTTCTCAATTAACCGTACTCAACGCACCCTGTTAATAACCTAAAAACCCCACGGGGTTATGTTAGCTTGTAACTATAAGTTAAAAAAAAAACTCAAAAAGGTGTCAGAATACTGAGTAGAGCTATAATTACACTGAGGACAACTCGAAAGAGGATGGCTAATAGCCAGTGAGAGGTGTAATAGAAGTGCTGCTTTAGTCCCAAGCATAGAGGAATAACAAATAAAAAAGTGTAGAGACTCCAAAGATGGCTAGCCTAGGAGAACGGAGAGGTGGGGAGAACAAAAAAGAGGGACCGGGGAAAATGGGTTTAGGGTTGGGAGATTTGGGGGGTCCCTCTTGAGAAGGTCTGGTGGCCACCAGTTTTGTTAATTTTTATTTTGGTTATTATAAAATATAGTGCAACGCCAAGGCCGCGATGAATGGTAAAAAAGAGGCGCAATTAAATAATTAGTAGTATTGTAGATGGGGAAATTAACGGTAGCCCATGAATGGTAAAAAAGAGGCGCAATCAAATAATTAGTAGTATAGTAGATGGGGAAATTAACGATGTGAAACGGAGTTAATTGCTAATCGGATACATTGGGTGAAACGAAGTGAACGAAATGGTCCGGTTACCCCATCTTTTATACTACTGACGGGGATGGAGCTTGGATACACGCGTCTCTTCACCGTGTTTGTCTAGCCGAATGCAGTTAGCCAGTTCCTGCCTTGGTACAACAATGCAAATCGAGCACAAAGTGAGCGCGAAGCTAATTTAAAAGCACGAGGGGTTGACCCTCGCATTAGCTCGCACGTTCATGAAATATAAATAACATAGAAACGCATAAAGTGGGTTGTAAATAGCTTAATTATAATCCAGTCTGACTGCTTTATCATTACTGTCTTCGTAGATGGGCTTATGGTGTTCTTCTTTGGGAAATGTCCACCTTGGGTAAGTGTTGGGGTGTGAACTAATCTAATCTAACAACCTTTTACCGCTTTTAACAACCCCCTATCCCTATAATTATGATGGGGTGTGGCTTGGCTTGTTCGGTTGTATGTTTCTTTTGTTATGATTAATAAGTGTTCTTTCTCCAGGACACTGACAGCACTTCTGTTCATCACCTGCAACTCTGGCTTTTTGGTATGATCTAGGCCCGGGTCAAGAAAGTGCTACAACTTAAGACAGATACAAGACAAAAATGATATCCGACATCATCTTGAAAATGCGCGCGTGGTAACCTAGAAAACAGAAGCCTTATAATTACGCATCCTGCCTTCAGATCTTCTAATGATACATTTTAGTTCAAAGGCTACTGAGTCCCACTTTTATCACTTTTATCACTTTTTTCACTTATTTCCCTAGTCTAGACTAAAATCTTCAACCAAGTGATATTAGTTTCCTAGTTTCCAGGAAAATGATACCCTTTTCTAAAGAAAAATACCCTATCCCAGACTAAAGTGCACGGGAACCTTACCCTTTATCTAGCAGCATATAACAATATAGCCCATATCTGGCAGTATCCTCTTGGATCGAACCAACATTGACTAAGTTTTGCAAAATACATCACAGTGGGCATGAGGGGAGTTATACCACAACGGCAGAGGTTCTTTTGACTATAGTTAAAAATCGACGATGACATCTCCAATAAGAAGTTGTATAGAGAAAGTTTTAAAAATGTATGATTTCTCAATTTAGGATTATTTTTCCTTCCTATCACCAGGAGGCGTGCCATACCCCACACTGACCAACACAGAGTTGTTTCGACTGCTCGGCACTGGATATCGCATGGAAAGGCCTGACATGTGTTCTGATGAAGTGTACGTTTCTTTACAATTGTCGTCTTAAAATTTGGAAATAGATTTGATTTCCCCTTAAAACCTTCACTAATTGACGTCGTTCTCTATAATAGATACGAGCTGATGACCCACTGTTGGAAAGAGGAACCTTGCTCTCGTCCCAGTTTCTTCCAGATTATCGAAAAACTGGAGGCGATAATGCAGAGGGATGCACCATATTTGGACGTAAACAAACATAATGAAGCTCATCCGTATTACAACGTGCCACCTGAAGCTAGTGACGATGAAGACGTAAATACGGAAAAGGCAGACACCCAAGAATCGGAAAATTTTAAAAGGAACAAAGATAAATAGTTGAATGCATGATAATCGAGAAACTAAGCTAAGAAAAGATTGAAATGGGTAAAAGTACAGTTGTACATAAAAAGAACTTTAAAAGCATAACAAATTAAAAAAATGTAACAGTAAAGCATTTCAGTTATAATTCCTCCCCTCTTCTATAAAAGTTCACTAGACATTTAAAATCACCGGCGGGAAATCCTGTCGATATAGATACCACCATGATGATGTTTCGACCTCGCCCACTACGCTGACCAAAGGATGGCGTGCACTTGATGCGAGATTGCTTCCCACCACTCTCCAGGTTTCCGAGAATACTATTGCACATGCTTCTTGATCACAGGCTCAAAGTTCATGTCTTAAGTGATTTTATTACCGATCTTCCGAGAGCAGATAAGAATTGACAATGCTTAAAGGCTAACAACACTAAACGCTAAACCCGATTAAGACCCTCCTACAATAAAACGCCCCCAAAAAACGTGCAACTTGTTTAAGTTTTGTAGCGTTGCTGAAGAGCGTGTTGAAAAGCGATGTTGCGTGTTTACCCACAGACGTTCAAATCTGTTTTGCAAAAATAAAGCTCATGCGTACATAAAAATACAAGAATAAAATTATCCTTGATAAATAACTGAGTTCAGTATGTACCGTAAATTCTCTATTAAGCCACCCTCCTCAAATGAGCTTGAAATAAATAAGCCCCCTAAGGAGCTTAATAGAGGATTTACGGTATGTGAATCCACTCCTCCTATTTGCAAGGGCAAGTTAATTTTTTTTAAAAGTATTTTATATCTGCTGCTCCCAGGGTATTATGGTTTGCTACAGAAGAATTTCTCACTGAAGTTGTTGATGGGGGGACTCCCTATAATGGCCTATACAGGAAGGGTGTGCCCCAAAGGGCTACCTTATTCAGGCTTCTGAGGTTGTTGAAGTATATGAAAGAGTAAGGAAAAGTGTCATTTCGTCTGTAAAAAGGCTTAAAAGGGCTAACAGATGCATTTTATGGCTGCGAAAAAACCGAGAAAATGTTCTGGTTTTGCTTTTTATTCATTTTTTAACAACAGTGCTTTTATAGCAGTTAAAAGGGGTACCATTTGACAGTAGAGGTATACAAATAAAGGGGTATTTTTTTGTCAAAAATGGTATATTTAACAATTATTCCTCGAGCCCGGATGGGCTCTGAGTCAATAGCCCATGAGGCCGAAGGCCGAATGGGCTGTTGACTCAGAGGCCATGAGGGCGAGAGGAATAATCGTTTTAGTAAAATCCAACTAGCTGGTCAAAAATAACGAGACAAAACAACTTTAGCTAACGAAACGCGATTCAGCCGCAATTGTTTTGATTTTCAAAGCCGGCGCTTTTCGCTACTGGCAGGCTATAACATATAGCCTAGTAGTAGCTCAGCCAATCAGAACGCAGCATTGATTATAGACCACTAGTTGGATTTTACTAAAGAGGGTTAAGGGGTCGGACCTCAGGCCGAAGCCTCCCCGTATAAAACTTTTTTTGAGTACCCTCGCCCCCAGGTAGTTGTTTTGCTCGACAGCTGCATAAAGAGCTGACTACCCAAGTAAGACATAATACAAATTTTTTCTGCTAATGCTATCTGCTTACTTAAACTGTAATACTAGCTGGTGTATGGAAAATCGGTTCCTTTAAATACTTGGTAATTTACTAGGAGGGTCTGAATGGGGGGGTCCATTTGTCGGTTGTCGGTTAAAATTCAGTTACTTTGTCGGTAGTCGGTTAAAATTTTTGATCTTTGTCGGTAGTCGGTTAAACTTCTTGATTTTTGTTGGTTGTCCGAAAATCTCAGTTAATAAGTAAAAACGCTTGTTAATTATTAATATTTTTTATGTATATCACCAAGTTTCAAGACTTTGATCCCAAGGGAAAGAGTAAAACTTGTAAGAATGCATCATTTGATTGCCACTTAAACTTCATTAACTCTTGTTTGTTTATGCAACATGATCGTCAGGAGCCGATCGGCTCCTGTGGTCGTTTATTTCACCATTGTTTGCCAAATGAATATCATGCGTACTGATAAGATCACCAAAACTTTTACTGTAAATGCGAACTTGGTTTCCCTGTCGATTACACCGCACAGTAAAAAGGAATTAATTAATTAATGGACACCAGCCTTTTGGATACTTAAATCATCAGCTTAGTGGAAAACTGCAAGGGGTGACCGGCTGCACATCTATCCTTTGCCATAAGTTTCCTTCCTCAAAGAAATAACACTTTAACCCTCGGACATACAAGGGGTGGGGGGTGGATGCCACCCCCTTTAGGTTTTCTGGGATTTTTCCAAGAGGACAAAACGTCAGCACCTGAGGTTTTCAGTAGATGTTCGTTTATCCCTCGCACGCATTTTGAGAAAAGTTCAGTGATGATCAGTTTCTATGGTTACGAGGTATGACGTAATAAGTAGCAGGTTGTCAAGCCATTTTGAGTGAAAATATATGTTTTTTTCAACTTTTTTCAACAATAAAAGAAAAATCTTGTAGCTAAAATCATGCAAAGTGCTTATTTATGTGTTATTATTCATGTCAAGCAATAAACATTTCTCTTTGTTTTAACCTGTTTTGTAATTCTTTGTAATATCCAAGATGGCGGCAAAGATGGCGACCATCGTTGGTGACGTAACAGGCCTCCAGCAGTGCCACCATTCATAAAATATACCTCATCTTGTTAAGAAGATCAAAGGCTTTTCAGTGAAGGCAAAATCACTTCAAAATACTGCAACATAAAAAAACTCTGGGGAGGGGTTCCATCTACCATCCTCTTTGTACCATGGTGGGGGTATGATTTTGCGTGTACGTCTGAGGGTTAAGTTGGCAAGGTAGTGGTTGGTTTTGTATGAGATTACACTTTTACATTAAAGTTTCTTTTATAATGGACACTAAGGGCTTGTATTGTGTCACGAAAGGCAATATTTCTTTTTCTTCCTTGTTGTTTTGTTTCAGGAGCGCTGCTTTTCTCCTGTGAGTTTTACTTCTAATAGCAATTTTTATTTCAAAATTATGTGGCCAGCCTCTGTCCATCAACCGCTTTTTGAAATCTGAAATACTTCCTCAGAGGAGTTTGTTCGTAGGATACTCAAGGCCAAATCCATTGGTCAAATCCATTTTAACATTCGGTGGGTGGTAAGAGGTGAAAATGAATATACGTCTTTACGTCAATGATAGCTTTTTCTCATTTTTCGTTGAATGTTGTGCCTTGGTATACAATGGGGTATAAAAAGATTGTCTCAGTGTCACATATTTCGGGCGTAAATTTCATAGCCAGTAGAGCAGTAGGGTGAAGTAAGTTTACTTGTTCCGTGAATTTGAAGAAATCTACCATGTCTGGTTTATTTATGTTCCATAGGGAAAAAATATCATCTATGTAGCATTTTCAAACAGTTGGTTTAAAGACGGTTTTGCTTAAACTTTGTGTTTCAATATATGCGGCCATGAAAATGTTGGAAAGGCTGAAAGGAAACTGCTGTATGTGCTCATCGCGGTACTGTGGTTTCTTACTGACAGTGCTTTCCATTAAACTGGGAAGAATTTTCTTTCAGGATTAATCTAAACATTTCTCGGACCGAATCAAGAAATGTTCAGTTTTTTCAGCTTTGTCTTTTCAATAAAATATATAAAGTCGGTAGCATCTTTAAGGACTGTGGCTTCTGTGATTATGATATTGGTTGTAGTAATGTAGCCGTATCAACAAAAGAGTAAGTTCTTTCTGTTAGACCATCTCATGAGTCATAAATTTAAAGAGGTTACTTCCTAACGGCTGGAAAAAAATTCAAAATGCTCCTTTTTTCTGAAACAAATATTGATAATGTCAGCCCATGTGGGTAGTCGGTTAATATTTTTCCTGTCGGTAGTCGGTAATTTTTTACTCGTTTTGTCGGTAGTCAGTAATATTTTTAGCCCTTTGTCGGTAGTCGGTTAACCCCATTCACACCCTCTACTAATCCTCATTACTGAAAAAGCAAACTCCTAGCAGGAAATCTAGTTCCTGATGGATTAGCAGACACAGCGGACAGCTACCTCTAATTTGACAAATTGAAACGATACTTTCTTCAAAAATGATAATGTTACCGATTACAAAGCCATTTTCCATGCCAGCCAGTTTTTTAAAGCTATTTGTCTCCAAAATTCAAGGCAATATAAACTCCTAGAAAAAACTAAGTCCTTAAAACCTCAAACTTGACTACTGCTTGACTTCAAACATTCATAACGGAGTGTTTATTGTTTGCATCAAAATTGCAGAGAAAATTGCAGACAAACATTAACCACGCTCTTGAAACCCAACCCCACTCCCAGGGAATTTAACCAGGGTTAGCCCTGTCCCTGTACAGTAGTTAACTGACACTCACCTTGACGGAGTACCCCCTCCCCCCATGCCAAGTGCAATGAATTTCTAAGCCCTGGAAAAAAGGTTAAGATGCTGTCGAAATTGCAGCACATCTAAAGGCAACACGAACCACACTGTCGGAGCTAATCCAATCCCCATCTTTCAGTCGTTCAGTTAACATCAAAACAATACGCATCCAATCGTGCTTGTTTTTCATAGTATCTTCGGTTGAGACCAGCGGGGTAGCAACCTACATGATACTGTTGCATTGGGGTAACAGCAAATCCGTCCGCCAGCCATCCACTACTGCGGAAGTTATCAATAAATAACAGCAAAAAAACTTTACGTTATATGAAAAATTTCCTTTTATCATTTTATTTCATGTCATTCTCAGTATCTTATCTAAAGTAATAGTGGTTATTATAAGGTTGCATATTAATTTCACGATAAATAAAAAACACTGGTGATCCTAGGTTTATTAACTGAATTGATAAGGTACATTGTCACTGTAGAGATATAGACGAGCTGACGTTTCGAGCGCTAGTCCCGGGAGGTTCCCAACAAAGTTTTTTACTGGCAGTGCAGGCTCCGCTCCAAAGTTCAACCCCTTACCCTTTTATATATCAATTTTGACAGAGAAGGTACCTCTTTCGTATTCCCTTCTATTGACAAATTGTAACCCTTTCACAAACCCTGTCTCGAAGTTTGCATCCTTTTCCGTCCTTTTAACTCCTGTAAATGCACTGTCTTAAAAATATGAATACACC